GAAGATTTCAAAATGCAAATGAACGATGACTTTTTATGAAATGTACGTGTTAATACAGCATTAATAAACAAGTTTAATGCATTGTTTCGTGCTTTGAAAAGTACTGTATTTGAACCTTTTCATTGTTCTTTAAACGTAAATGCACTGACAAATCTTTTTATGACTATTGAACAGCGGTATACTATTGTTAAAGTTGTGAATGGACAAACACACAGCAATACGCACAGTAAAACCCAGTTTAAAAGAAGTCCGAGTCCGTTGTCAGAAAAGGTAACAAAAGAAACTAAGCAAAATGACAATGATACATAAATTAACAAAGGACTACTAGCAGTTACTGACACGCCAGCTCCAAACCTCAATTAAACTGATTGAAAGATTATGTCTTTATCATATGAAAATCAAGCACAATCCCTCCAGTTAGGGGTTTAGTATCATACCATCATAAAATATATGAGAAGAACATAACCCGTATCATGCCAATAACTGGTTTTAGAATAAATGTGTTATTTCCGATGCAAAGACCCTATGAGTAAATCAATATTAATACCAAAATATGCCATCTTTAATGACCTGACAACAGTATCGTAACTATATCCCTTCTGAATAAGTCTGTTTAAAGGTTTGGTTAGCTTTTGAGGTGAATGTCGACATTTTTGTGCTTGGTATAGAATATTACCATAAAAGATTGGATGTGAAATACCTGAACGTATAAGATGTCTGCATGTTGATTTATATTTACGAATGATGTCCTTGTATCAATGATAGAATTTAGTAAATGTTTTGACTATTTTGTGATATCGAAAACCCTGGTGTAATAATTTTTCAGTAATACAGAGATTTCTTTCGTTAAAATCAAGTACGTTGTTACATACACGAGCGAATCGAACACGTTGAGATATATAAACACCATAAGTTAGCGACCATCTAAAAATGGATAATTAACAATTGGAAATGAAAAATCATCTCTTTTATACTAAAATTTTGGTATTACGCTTCCCGTTAAAGATATAGATATCAAGATCCAGGAAAGGGCAGTGTTCATTGTTAGTATTATAGCTTTATTTAAAGTCAGTTCAGCAGGATAAATCTCTTTAGTGTACATAGTGAAGTCGTCATTATTGAGAGCCAATATATCATCCAAATATCTAAAAGTGTAATTAAATTTATGTATCAGAGGTTGTTTCGATGGGTCTTTGCTGATTTTAGTCATAAATTGTAACTCATAACAATGCAGAAACAGGTCCGCAATGAGTGGTGCACAGTTAGTTCTTTTTTTTGTTGTTACTAAAAAATGACCTAAAAGAGTTTGAACGTATATATTGTCTTTATATATTACATTTTAAGCCAAAGGAATTTTGTGTTTTTCACTCGATAAAACAAGGACACACTCGAAAAACACGGACTGCTCTCGAAAAAACACGGCCATATAAAAATGAATTTACTCTCCAAAATGTCCTTTTCAATGCAAAAACAAGAATTTTTGTAAAGTGTCTACATATGTAAGTATACATAGATTCCATGTGCACATTTCTGTTGACATTTGCATTGGTTTGTGTATAAAAATGGCTTTAATCTATATTTTTGAATAAAGCATTGTAAGGCTCAATTAAACGTTTTTAAAACAAAATAATGTAGGGTTGATAATATCTTTTTATCAAAAATACTAATTTACCTTCTATGATCTTGTATATAAGGCTCTAACATCTTTTTTCACGTTTTACCAGAAAGGAAGTCTGTTTATTTACATTTGATAATATTCACTCGAAAAAAGTGGTCACACTCGAAAAAACCCGATCAAATCACTCGACAAACCACGATCCCAGACGGACACTATTCCAATCGTGTGGACCCGGAAGAGCAACAAGGCTGCTCCTGTCGGAGAAAAAATATTAAGGATAGTGAAAATTGAGAAAAGTTTCGACAATGTTATACTATCACAAAATACATATGTTACTTATAGAGAATAAGAATATTCTTAGTTTTGTTATGAAGTCAATATTCAGTTGGGTTTTTTTTAGTAAATCTTTCCTGCTGATCGGTAAATAAGGCATTGTTTGCAGTTTTAGCTTTTTAAAATCTTTTCCGCTGTTCGCTAAACAAAGCGCTGTTTTTTTTTTATTTAAACTGTGTTTCAAAACAATAGTGAGTGATGTTTGTGATATTCTGCACCAAATTTCCAAGGAAATTTGAACATGCCTGTACACGCAATGTAGTCTGCTTTTTACATTTTTTTTCAATGTCGCTTCATACAAAATCGTGGTTTATCGAAAAAACAAATCTGGACATTTCCCTGTGAAAATTACTTTCTTGGATTGATTGACTGATTGTTGGTTACTTAACGTCCACTGAACTTTCTTGGAGGAAGCCATACCTACGATGAATTTGTTAAATAGTCGTTTTCACTTATGAAACGTTTTCACTGTGCGCCCAAACATGCCGAAGAAGGCTAAATCATTTACGGTTAATACCGGTATCGTTCTAGTTTTAACTGACAAACAATCATAACAACTAGCATGCTATTCGCTTATCTTCAATTGTAAACAAGACAACATGTTTCTTTTTGGGAATTTTTTCGGCATTGAAATTCTGACAAGTTTTACTACGGGCATTGCGCCAGATTTTGACGTATCATGAAATCCAAAAACAGACGCCGATTTTACAACCCAAGACTTGATTATATATAGGAAGGGACTTTAGGAAACTGCAGGCAATCTTTAATGTGGTATTGTTTATTATCGTGTTTGTGAACCTGCGTTCGTTGTAATATTTTACACAGGTATTATACAGGTATTACACGTTATTTGGAAAGCAGGGCAAAAATGTGCTTGCTACTACAAGCTGATGGTTGAATGTTGGCATTCAAAAACAAAATCAGAAACAACACTCCCCACAGATTTTATGAAATCTCATTCTAAAATTTAATTGAAATCGGCAGTTTTGTGAGAGGTTAATAAGTATTTAAATTTCTCAGACGAACGGAAGAAAGACAAACTGTAACTTTTTTTAAGCATTTAAAAGTTTGTGTATGTAGGAATAGTTACCGGTATAACCTCACGTAATAGTCGGAAGATGTTTTAAATAATGTGAAGTATAGTCATACTGCGGTATACCTATCCATAGATTTTTTAGCTTGTTTAGGACGCCTTCATCTACATCGCTCTGAACCTAGTAAATAAAATTACTACTTGCCAGTGGTGTTCGGAATACACTAAGTGTTTTCGTCTCTTGAGATGTTCCTGTCCCGTCCCAGTATTCATGCAGACGTCTATCACTGACAATTATACAAGATAATCAAGGCAATTTGACCGACTAGATGAAACATAATAACGTTAGACAAGACCACAAGATGTCTCTTCAATTTTCGGTTCTCCGGAGAATTTAGTTTTACAAGTCACAAAAATATCGTTGCAGTAGAATATCTAACCATATGATACAAATGTGAAAATCATAAATTTGAGTCCTGAAAGGTTATAAAGTACAGGTTGGTTGTTGGTTGCTTAGCACGAAAACTTTCAAACTGCAAAAAAGGAAACCTGAACCGGAAACATTTCTTTGCACTAAAAGAGATCAGAAAAGGCAAATATATACGATTTGTAAATGCTATTGTCTACTTAAAGAGGGAGTGTGGTTTTCTTCTATGTCACACAAGCTCCAGCAACACAATAAGACAAGAAAAATCATATACAGGTCAACGTATGTTCTTCAAAAAAAGGCAAATGTCTAAACAAAATGTCAGGCTCTAGACTATACCGATTCTTCGCAAGTTGTCGAGGAACTTAACAGAGACTAATAAAGTCATCAGAACCTATTGTTTCAATGGAAAAAACCAATTACATATAAACAAAGACAAATACTGACGTAGTTCCTTAAATGGAACAGACATAATGTCTTGTTGATACCAAACCCTTGTCATCAGTAAATTTCCTGTATCTATATATGTACAATGTGCTTGTTTTAGATGGATACTATAAATATTTAAGTGTTTAGAGCTAACCAATATTATCGAGGAATACAAAAAAATTGAACCGGACCCACAGTCCTAGTCCTGCACAGAGAAATCACATTAAAGTTATTCTCCCTCTTCGCTACCAGGCATTGATTATTGAACTTATTATGAACTTTGACAGAGAAAGTAGACATAAGAAGTGTCCCGCGCTGATTATGTACTTTATTCCCAGATGTTAAAACAAAAAAGTAAATACTTTAATGGTATGTAAGTAGATATATCCTCAATTAAGACGCTCTGCTACCAAAATATCCCACACAATTTAACTCAAGTGAGTGGAAAACACCAAAATTTATATTAAAATCTCAATTAATGTGATAATATCTTAATAATAAACTTCAACTGGGAATGTTTTAGTTCAATGTATATAAAATAAGGAGATATGGTGTGATTGCCAACAAGACAACTATCGTCCAGAGCCCATATGGTTGTATGTCGTTTTAAAATATTCCAAATTCAGTGAAATACATTTACGTACAAATCGTGTTGGTTTTGGTGTTACTGTACCATTTTTCATACGTATATATCTTATTTCATTTTTTTAATTATGCCAACGTTACCTTCAGTCTTCTGGAAAAAAAATATCATTTTTTTGGGGGGGGGGGGGGGGGGGGGGGGGGGAGGGTGTTCAATGTTATTTTTAACTGTATTACTGTTTAAAATGTAGATGTGTAAAAATGTATATATATAATATGTCTTAAAAGTCTCGCATTTTATAAACCCTTTTAAGATTGGTGCATACATTGTAAATGTTTTAATTGTTTTATATATCTATCCGGTGAATTTTATTACATGTTTATATGTGGTGAGACTATAATAAAATATTGAATCTGAATCTGAATCATAATAAATTATTGATAATTATTAGTGTGGCAATATAAGTAAAGTATAAAACAAATTACACAAGCTTCCACCTTTGTTCTAACTAACTAGTGACATTTTACCGGTTAATTTGATATAAAATCGATATTTCGTAATGACTGGGACATCTTTTTAATTATATAACAAATAAATATGTATATATACAACAACTACATGTAGGATTTATTTTATGAGTAATTTAGGTACTTTAAAGATATTTATAAAAATGTCCAGTTTCGACTTAAAATCAATCGATCGAGAAAAAGGATATGCAGTTTTGTCACTGTTAATATGCTCTCTACAGACAGCGGAAATAATTAATGTATAACTCTTCATTTATGACATCCACAGAAGAAATATCATATTGGTTTTGATAATTAGGATTTTTTTTACCTATAACTGGTGATTGGACATGTGGATAAGTTATCCGTTATGTTTGTGACACTTTACTACTGGACGTGATTGCTCGATGTACGCAAGTCCCGCCTTACTAATAAAGACCTAAACGTGAATCTTCTGCCGTCCTGAAAGCTGTCGTCTGCAAATGGATAGTGACAATTTATCTTACTCTCTGAAGGACGAGGGAAAAAGGGAAATGTTTGAATCTTTCCACTACTGGGCCATTCAGAATTATGGGGACAGCGGAAAAACAAAAACAGTGACACATAAAAAGTACCAACGGATTACAGATATCCTGACTGGAGATGAGCCTCCGACGGCTGGAAATTCTAAATTCAGATTTTGGGTTAAAGCAAAAGGATTCCGTTTAGGACCTGTAGATAGCAGTGACCCGTCGAGAACTTGTTTATATGTTCCAACAAAACCTGTTGTAAGTACTGAAACTTTCAAATTTTGAAAAAATGACTTATTGCTTAACTGAATTTTAATGAAATCATTTTTTATTCATATATGTATTTCTGAAATAAAACAAATTTGATACTTAAATAATTATTTAAAACATTAAACAACGCAATATGATAGTAATATATTTATATACTTTAATCCGACCACGATATCCTGAAGCTTACATATATGTACTCAGTCAGGTCTCAACCAACTGCACAAAATCTCTCAGACTTTTTACGTTGTTTTGAATGTATATAGCATCGATCTTGTATATATACAGGGCGACTATTTATTCAATACTAATGTCCGAAATTAGTTTGACGGTCGACCGGACAGTAGAATATTATATGTGTCTCATTACTGGACACTTCTGAGCCTTATAATGGCAGACATCAATATGACTGTCACCACTGCCAGGATTTTTGCTTCCCAGTGATGAGAAATTTTGTCCCATTTAATACCTAAAATTCTCTCGAGAGTTTAAAAAATCCATGACTCGAAATTAAGTTCACGCTAAGACACTCTTAACTATATTATCCATCAAACTAAAAACTGACTGAGATACCACTCTCTCATCAAACTCCACTTTATTGATCAAAAACAAGATATATTTTAATGGATGCTTAAAGGAAACTGTTTTCTTTGAAAGAATAGAAAGACAATATTACAAAAATGAATGAACAGCTAGGAAAATAGGCAGGTGTCTTGTATTGCATACGTGCAAACTGTTACATGAGTGGTCAAACTATGTCCTTTGTCCTTTCCATTGCCATATTTGTTGTTATTTATATACGTCGCCATTAACACATAAGTTTAACACCCCGTCCCATAACAATTATATATTAAAGTTATTTTTGCAAACTGTCAAAGTATACCATTATATATTAAAAAAAATATGACTGATAATTAAACTTAATATAAATGTATCTTGATTGTGTTAAGAAATATTATTAAAAAAAAACTTTTTAACTAACACGCATTTGCTGTTCTATTTCGACAGTATTCTTGCTCGTTTTGGTTTTATAGATTTTGTTACCTTGGAAACAGGTATATGTATCAGATAAGTAATTACAATAGCTAACGATATATATTATAGCTATCACCTTTACGGACAGGTGCGCGGCCAGTCTAAGCTAATCGGAAACGCCTCGTGCTGATTCCTGGTTTCTGTAGGAGAAAAGATTACCTGCTACAGAACTCGGGCTAATTAGGCCTACAGATTAATATTTGTAACAAAAGGAATTGTTAAGGCAGATATATAATTTTCATGTCGTCAAATATGGTTGGAAAAGTAAGAAAGGATATTGAAAGCGAATGAATCAATGGATACCAAAAATGATTTGACAAAATAGTTCATTAATGAGAAACCAGGGGACAAAAGCAATGATTAATTAGAATAGATATAACGGGACAAGGAGTAAAAAGGAAGAAGCAGAAGAAAATATTAGTAATTATTTAGATTCATTTCAACTCGAGGGCTTGTATCGATGAGAAACTTCTGGTATTGTCACATCATCTAAACAACTTGGTTACCTTGCCTTTATGTTTCCATGGATACTTAATTTCTATCATCCGGTAAACTCAGATGGGACTTCAAAAATAAATCGGTTTCTATCACCAGGGATACTCATCTCACTTCCGTGGTTTATCTTATTTGTCCCGTCAAAACCGGAAAGAAGATGATAGTTAAACATCCGTCCTTTTTCCTGGTTATCTATCCCGTTGCAGTACAAATTCTCTTAACATGAACTTTAAATAAACCACTTAAAAAAAAAGAAAGGCTCTAGTACAAGGATGTTTTTTGGAGAGAGGAGAAAATAAAATAATTTTGTCACCATTTTATATATAATTCCTTTGAACAACAACAGTTAATAAAGCATATTCTTCAACGAGTGATGCAGTAATTGTAGATTTTGCAGATGTTTTATTTTTTTCACAAGTACGCCCATCGTAATTGCGAAAAAAGAAATTAAAGAAAAATCTGATTGAATCAAATAAATGTTTCAAACTATCTTAATTGCAAAGAAAAACAAAAGCGATATTGACTCATATTAGTAATAGTTGAAACTAATAATTATTCAAAGCAAGATTATAAAACCATCTAAAAGGCAATGGTATACGAAGGCACCGACCTTTCGCCTTGTGGGCGTTGGTTTTCTGTTTTACATATTTTTTATTCATTTTTTGGGAGGGGATACCAAAACACAATTCGAATATAAAATAAACACATTTTTTTTATAGATTTTAAACAGAAAAAAAGATCTTTTTTACTCAATGTTGTATTATTTTTCCTTATTTTCACTGGAAACAAACTATTTTTTCATTTCCTTTCGGAAAAAAGCTATTTTGTTTCTAGAAAATACCCCCCCCCCCCCCCCCAAAAAAAAAAGAAAGAAAAAACAACAAAAAACAAACAAACCCCAAAAGAAAAGAAAAGATCAATGGATGGTACATTAGATAACTAAATTTTTAAGAGAAGACTGCACATACCGTTTTAAAAGGTATATAATTATTAATTTGACGTTTTCACCTCGTCTCCTTTGAATCATATTAACATTTATATGTAGAGATTACGAAAAAATATATATAAACATATATTTAATTTGAGACGAGTTGTTTAGGTAATGAAGTAGCAACCCAACAACACGAGCAACTCTAAATATATACTTACCAATCTCCTTTTCATAACGTGATTTTTTTATGCAATTCAAATGATAACCAATATGAATGGCTTTTGCAGCATATCCGTCAACACAGGTAAGAAGTAAGATAAAAACCCGTATCGTTGCTATTATTTTCATGCGTTTGTACACCGACAGCGAGACTTTTATGGTGTGTTTTGACTGTATCAGTAAGCTATATTTTTGTACCAAATGTATGCTTGCTGTTCAAGTATTTATATTTAAATTAGTGATGCTGTATTTTGATCACCAGAGCAAACCGAACCTTCCTACAAAAGAAAAAAATGCTGATTTGACATGATAGCAACTTTCAGAAAACTTTGGTGTCCGTAATTCATAAATTGATTGAACCATTATGTTACAGAAGGCATTATGTAAATTTGAATTGGTAGAAATTTGGCAAATGAAACAAAATTGTGTTTAAAGAATTGCAATTTGTTTACAAACTTTAAAAAAAATTATTATCCAAATATTTTAAATAAATATACTACACTGGATTTCAGATGAAAATAAGATATTGATCATTTGTCTGTATAAAAAAACCTGAAGGAAATGTCCAACCTTCTAATTTCCCACACTAACTTCCCACAGGATTTTAAAGAAAACATTTTTTGGCTTTGTTAATGTGTTTATACAGTTCGCCTACGTCGTTAAATAATATTTTCCCAGATCTATGAACGACTAAAATCAGGAAGAATTTATCATTTTCTTGTACATCATACTAAAACGTACTCCCGACAGAAAATAAAATCAGGATTGAGAAAAAGAGTGACAATTTTTCTCTATTAAGTTTAAGCTACGTTTTAATGACGTATTAACTACTGAAACTTTGAGAAAATTTCCCACAGAGGAATTAAGTTTCGTTTACGGGGCAATGTAGCCGCTTGTTCTTCGTTCCAATTTCCTTTAATTGTTTTACAACAATTTTGATGCGTCCCAGTACACTGGAAACACAATCCGGATTCACCAATCGGAGAAGACGAGACCCAGGAGTGGCACATTGTAATTCTTTCCATCTCTTAATCCATTGCTTAAACCGATCGTTATATCTGAACATAAAATCCTACATTACAAAACATACATTAAGGTATCAAAACTTGGAAATATTAAAATTTCTACCATTTGTTATATTACGTTGTGATATTAATAATGGTCATGGAATGTTTATTACCAATCACATAACAGGAGTTTTCATTTCTAATATGTAGCGGAAAATAAAACATACCCCAAATGGGTAATACTTGAATTGTGGAAGTCACTCTAGTTTTAATTTAGCAGTACATTTCATATGGATAGATTTCAAATTATTAAAAGGAAACCAAGTGTCATGTTCCGTTTAGAATGGCATACGAGAAATTGTTTCTTTGAGAACTGAATGCAGGTAGATTACTTCTGGTCCTTTTCATACTTTGTTTTTCGTTTTTGATCTTCTTCGTTTTTCTGTCGTTCTTTTCTTCTATTTGGTCTAGGAATAATTTATTTTTATAACTCTCCTCCTAGTTACTGACTTACAAGACTTACACTGTTGTCTGTTTCTCCTATGCGCACAAGTATAATGAATATATGATAGTGTTGTCAATGGTTAAACGATGATAGTGTTGTCAATGGTTAAACGATGATAGTGTTGTCAATGGTTAAGCGGTTAACCGTCGGAAGGACCGAATATCGAATACATATAATAATATAACCATGGCTGTCTTATCAACTTCTCGGGAATAGATATATCAAGCTTCAGTCATTTCAGAAAGAACGATTTTTTTCGTTAAATAAAGAACAAATTGATATCAACAAACTATTGTTGTACTTTTAAGATGAATGTCGTTCTGTAATATATTTTGTTTTGGTACATCCTTTACCAACTTCTATGTTGTTACCGTGGCTTCCTGTAGTGTTTAGAACAGAATAAATGATTATTTTTTTTTTTACTTTCAAATCTGTATTTTAACGATAAACGTTTGTTATTTTTGTCTTAGAATAAGAATCTCTGATTTGAAATTTTATGTCATATACAAATTCTCTTTGTCGTGTTCTGCTGTATAACTAGCCATGATAAGTAATATTGCGCAATGTTTATTGCAAAAGTTTCATCATTTAAACTAAAATCCACCAATGAAAAAAAAAATACACACACCCCCTTTCCTCGTAAAACAATATGTAATCCAGGTTCAATATGTCTACACGTTTTTCTCAACGTCTTAACCTTCGGTCTTAATTTTGCATCATTACAGAATTTATTGTACAAAGCAATAAAGTTACATTAAAAAATACATGAATTTGACTTCATAAATGTTAAAATTGAACT